CCTAAGGAGTCAGGTTATCAAGAGTTCCAATATACTCATACACAAGAGCCACAGAAGACAAAATAGTAGAATAAAGATATGAAGAACTAATGGTTACAACCTTCCAAAATTGATGAAAGATACAAATCTACACACCCAAGGCGGCCAACAAGCTCCAAGAAGGATAAACTCAGTAGAGATCCATATTAACATACTTTATAATCATGCTATCAAAAACCAAAGTCAAGGAGAATCATGAAAACACCAAGAGAGAAGTGATTTGCCACATACAACAGATCCTCAACAAATAATTATGAGTTTGCGTTTCATCAGAAACCATGAAGGCCAGAAGGTAGGAGGACGAATATTTAAAGTGCTGAAAGAAATAACCTGTCAATCAAGAATTATGTATCTTACTGCTTCAAAAACCTATTCCTAAATAAGCAAGACATGAGGAAGTTTGTTACTAACAGACCTGCCCTATAAGAAATGCTAAATCAAGTCCTGGTTGAAATACAAGCAAGGCTATTCTTTCTTCTACTCTGCAAATTCTTTTGAATAAAGCTAGGAAATTAAATGTGAAAGATTTTCTTGAAGGAAAAAAGTTAAGAATCAAGTTGCCATACACAAACATAATTAACAGTATGAAAATCTCATTTATCAGTATCATTAGGGATTTAAGTGTTTAACTTCCTACCCAGTAAATGTTATCTGAAGTACTAATATTTGCTTAATTTTAACATCAAACAAAAATCTTTTGCACTGTGCTGCAGCATACTTTCCTTGGTTACCACATCACTAACAAATTAAATCTGACACTGGAAAAACACTAAACTTAATGTCTAAAGCCCTAAATTTTTTTTTTTTTTTTTTTTGGTTTTTTTAAGACAAGGTCTCACTATGTAGTTGAGATTGACCTAGAATTCACTATGTAGCTCAGACTGGTCTCGAACTCACAGCAATCCTGCCTCAGCCTCCCAAGTGCTGGGATTACAGGTGTGAGCCACCACACCTGGCAGTAAAGCCCTAAATTCTTAAATATACCACCCATTTTAATATCACTAAATTCTGGCCTAACTTCCTTCAACTATAAATTAAGAAAAATGGTTTAGTATCTAGACTCTAATTGATCCCTGAAGTTTATCCTTGCTCTAAAATCTCATAAGCCTGGGATTTTTTAAAAATATACAAAAGTACTGGATAAAGATGTGGTTTTTCTATAAAATGGAATACTACTCAGCCATAAAGAATGAGAAAGTAGATTCATTCACAGGTAAATGGGTACATTTTGAGGATATACTCCTAAGTGAAATAAATAAGTCACCCATATGCAAATACCGAATAGTTTCTCTGGTGTGAAAAACTAAAATAGTACTCAAGATCCTAACCAGACAATTAGCAACATGAAATAGGAAGAAAAGGACCAAAGATGTAGGGACAGTGAGAAGGATAGGGAAAGGGGAACAAGGGAAAAGGAAAAAATATGAGAAAATGTAAAAATGGAATTAAAGTGTTTGAAGGTGGGGAGGGGAGGATGAAGGGAGGGTGGGGACAAGGGGAAAAAAATGAGAACCAAGACCTGGCATGTAAAGGTATAAGATCCCAGTAATGAATGTAACTGTACCGTCTACCTAGAATGTACCAATAAATTCAACTTAAATAAAAAATATATATACAAAAGTGAAGGTACAGGATACACAGATAATACCAATTTATGATACTCAAGTTACTATTTTTACATTGTGACTGTGCCAGAGGTATTCATTTCAGTAGAACCCTTACACACAAATTCTGTTTTTTTCCCAGGCTACCAATACACGGTTCAATATTCATCCTCTACTCTCCCTGCTCTTTCTGACAAACTACAGATTGACATAAATGTTCTGAGCACATTTAACGTGGCTAGGCTAGGTAAATGCATCAAATGCATTTTCAATGTATGATACCTTCAACTTACATATAAGGAAATAAACTAGTAAATCAAACCATCTAGAAATTGCCAAAATGCTGATAAATGCTGAAGTTGGGTGATGAGTATATGGTTTCATTATTCTTTCTACTATTGAGTATGTATTAAAAAATTCCAATAGAAGTTTTTCTTCATAAAATTTGTCAAGGAAATAAAAATTTGTAAGTACCCATTTCTGTTTTCCTAAAAGGCCCCAAAAAGCTGTTGTAAATTAAGTACCATAACGAAATCAGATTTGTGGTTTTTGTTGTTTTTACTTTGTTTCACAATATAAGGAAGCACTAGAAGTCCTTTAAACTTACTGTTTGCTTGTACAGTAATGTTCCCTGAATGCCCTGTTTTTGCATATATGCCTCTGTTTTCAGTCAGCAATATGTATGAGTTGCTATTTATTTTAGTAAAACCAGCAGTTCCATTACTTTACCCACATTATTTGGTTGCAAAAAATAACAGTAATAACAACTTATTTGAACTGTATGTGAAGTTAAGAATAAGGAGCTTTCCAGTAAGAGACTAAAAAAACACTCCTATGTAATTGCACTTTGTGACATCTATTTTGGCTACCCAGATTCCATTAGTTTCTGGCTACATTCCCAATAAATTAGGATTCATTTATCAATAAACATTAACCACTTACTACATGGGAGACCAGTGATTTTCAAATTGGCAATGCCTAACATTTAGTGGGGTGTGAAATTAATGTAGGTCACAATTAGCATTTTAATGTAACGATATAGAAAACCAGTCCAAGGCACATAATATTTTTCTTTTACATATGTACTAAGTCTCAATGTCAGTCATATTAGTGGGAGGTACAGTTTTTTTAAAAAAGCTTGAAAGCCATTCTGGTAAGTAATACGCTAAACTGGGATGTCAGGCAATCTGCGGATATAAAAGAGGTATTACCAAACAATGTAAATTATTCTAATTTACCTGTCATATAAAGGTACAAGATCCCAATAATAAATGTAACTGTACCGTATACCTTATTGTACCAATAAACTCAATGAGAAAAAAAATTTTTTCAATTAAAAAATAAATTATTCTATTCTGCAACAATGCATAAGATTCTAATAAGATTACTGACATTTAGAAATGGGAGGAAAGGAGCTAAAGATGTAGGGAAGGTGTGATACGTAGGGGAAGAACAAAAAGGGAAAAGAAAAAAATGTGAGAGAATGAAAAGATGAAAATAAAGTGTTTGTAGATGGGGAGGGGAGGAGGGGGTGAAGGGAGGGCAGAGGCAAGGGGAAAAAAATGAGAATCAAGACTTGCCATGTAAAGGTACATGATCCCAACAATGAATGTAACTGTACTGTATCCCTAAATGTACCAATAAACTCAATAAAAAAATAAATAAATAAATAAATAAATAAATAAATAAATAAATAAATAAATTATTCTAATTTAACACGATTCCATCAACTATACAGGTAAAAATGCAATTGACTGACAAAACAGAAAACAATTGTTTTTTCAGATTCACTTAGAAAACATTTTATTCTTAATTCAAATATGTTTATTGAACACATACTATCTGCCAGGAATTTGGAATATATGGTAAAATATTCCTGTTCTCATGGGGGCTTAATGGCTAGTAGGGGCATATTTAAAAACAAATATTTAAAAAGTGGTTAGAAATTGAGATAAACACTCTGAAGGAAAAGAAAAATTACAAGGGTACTACTGAAAGAGGAGAAAAGCACCCACGCAGGAGATACACAAATTGCGCATAATGCACCACTTCTCCTGAGGCCCCTGGGATCAAGGTGACCCCTCAAAGAGATGGAGCAGCTGCACTTGCAGTGGATTTTAGGAAGAGAGGAAGTTGGTAAGTAACGATTTACGCACCTTGGCAGGGAGTTGGTTTGAGTCTAAAAGCAATGGGAAAACTGGCACCTGTTAACACCTAGAATGGAAAACTCCAATCAAAAAGCCTACTTATGGAGCAACCCATTTTCCGGTACCCCTTTAATCTCTCTTAGGCAGAAGCTTGCTTTCTTTCAATAAATTTTTCTACTTTTAATTTTTTAAAAAATCCTCTGTTTAGAATTCCTCCAATTTTCTAGCCTGAAAATTACTGAGTACCCCCAAAAGCCCTTGTTATGTGGATTATAGTTATTCTAATATTTACTACATAGAAAGTTGAAAAACGAGAAATTGAAGGCCTATAAACATCCCATTATCCCATCAGTAAAATGATGTCCTCACATGTAATATAATCTCAGAAAAACTCCACGTACACAGTGAATGTAGAGTGAAAGATGCAAATAATATCATAGGCTTCACAAAAACAGCTTTGAATTCCAGAGTAGTGGCGCACACCTGTAATCCCAGTACTCCTGGAGGCTGAGGCAGGAGGATAACAAGTTCAAGCCAAGCATGGGTATCTTAGCGAATAAGACCCTTGTCTCAAAAAAGAGCTGGGGATGAGGCTCAACACAAAGGTGCTAGGTTCAATCCTCACGGAGAAGAGGGGAAGCCACAGCTCTCTGACTTAAAGGAGTTTCCAGGGAACACTGACAATTATAAAACACTTAATGTTGATCCTCCCCCAGAAAATACCTAAGACAAGTAAATAACATATTTAAAACATTTAACTACAAAGCCTTGAATTCTAGTACAGAAAAAATTTCTATTTAAACTGACAGAAAAAAAACTGACAAACCAAAAAAGACCACTCCTGCGTTTAATCCTTGTGGTTTTATTTTTCCAATCTGTCATACAAACGGACACCCAAGAATGGCTCTAAGTTTCAATGGTGAGAACTCGCGTCAAATGTTTTTGTTCCCAACTTTCTCATCTAAGGATCTCCCCTACTGAAATTTCCAAAATGACCAGCTAAAGGTCACTTTTAATTATCTTTCCACGTTAAACAAAAAAGCCCTCCATCAACAATCTGCGACTTGATTGAAGCTGATTAATGAGTGCTCCGTCGCTATCTTGTAAGCTGCCAACAAGAGCGACACCACGGGGGAGCCGACCCACATCTGGCCTTTCGGCCTCGCGCTCTTCGCCAAACTGCTGAAACCCAACTAGAACGCGTTTTCACCGAGGACACGGTATGGGCTGCGGGGTCTTCGGGAATCGACTCGGACGCTACTTCCCGGGGCGAGCCCCGTACGTTCCGTCACAGGATGCACGTCCGAGGCCTCCGCGACTGCGCGACTCCCGCCCGGCCGGCCAACCC